AACTAATATTTTTAATTAGTAAATCCAAAATTCTCGCTACTAAGTATGTGTATGAGGACATAATTATATTTCAAATAATTATATTGTAATAAAATTTCACAAATAGAATAAGTTAATCTGTGAATATCCAAATTCCGTGATATCACAATTACAATGGAATATATTTTATACTAATAGAAGAGAATGTACTGTGGAGTCCTTCCTTGGTGCTCTCTAAGCTTGGTGGTTTTCTTGCAGACATTATATAACCCAACTAGGTAACATTAGTTTTATCCCAAAGGTGTTGTTTCTAAAGGGCAACTGAACATTCTTGTTTTTTTCCTTTGAAAACATTTCGAATCTCATCCAAGAGGTTTCTTGAATTCTAACTGACTGATGGGGAAGGAGTGAAAGATTGGCTGGGAATGACTAGTGGGGAATCAGTGATTTGATCTTTCTTGATCTGGTTGTCTAGTTTCTGTATTGGATTGGTATTCACCACGATGCAAGTTTCCTTGTGTTCCAATAACTTGTGGCTTTTTGTATATATTGTGATCTTCCCATAACTGTGGTTTGACCTTTGTCTGTTAGTAGGATGATGATAGATTGGTTCTTCTTTAGATTTTTGAGGGCTGCTCCATCCTCTGAGTTGGTTCTGTTCTTGTCTCCTTTTGGTATGTAATATGGTTGTTTGTCTTATGCTTTCTTGGATCTCTGTGGGAGGTTCTGTCCTTTTAAATGCTCCTTCTAGGGCTGTAAAGAATTCTAGTTGATTGGGATCATCTGTGTTGAAGTTAAAGCTTTTCTGTAGAATATTGTGTTCTGCAGTACATATATCTTGCAGACATAATTGGTAAAATAGGGGTAGAGTGGTTTTGCTGAGAAAAGACTAGTCATACAGTAGTAATCATCAAAGGGTATCCACAAGGTCCTACTGCTTTTATGAAAATGAGCACACTATCACTCTACAAATTCTACCACTTTGGGGACGAATGTGTGATATTATGATACACTTACAAAAGCAGCACAGCCCTGCTTTCACAGATCAGACCTGTTTGATCAGCACCTGCAACATAACACCCCAGACTTAACAATTGTCGATAAGAAAGACAAAAAAGTCTGGATAGTGGATGTGGCAGTGCCTGGAGATAGCAGAATAGAAGAGAAAGAACTGGAGAAGATAACAAAATACAAAGACTACAAATAGAAATAGAAAGACTGTGGCAAAAGCAAGCAAGGGTAGTACCAATAGTCATAGGCTCCTTGGGTGCAATCCCAAAACAACTGGAGCACCACTTGAACACCATTGGCATTGACAAATTCGCTATTCGTCAATTGCAAAAGGCAGCCTTATTAGGAACTGCTTCCATCCTGCGACGATATCTGTAATACCATCAAACATCCACATCTGCCTATCCCAGGTCCTGGGTAAGGACTCGATAGGTGGACAAAATGCCAAATCCAGTCTGAACATCTGGCTGACTGTGTGATGATCGATAATAATAATAATAGTTGGAAGGAACCTTGGAGGTCATCTAGTCCAATCCCCTGCTCAGGCAGGAAACCCTATACTATTTCAGACAAATGGCTGTCCAGTCTCTTCTTAAAAACTTCCAATATTGGAGCATTCACATCTTCTGGAGGCAGATTGTTCCACTGATTAATTGTTCTAACTGTCAGGAAATTTCTCCTTAGTTCTAGATTGCTTCTCTCTTTGGTTAGTTTCCATCCATTATTTCTTGTCTTCTCTTCAGGTGCTTTGGAAAATAGCTTGACTCCCTCTTCTTTGTGGCAACCCCCGAGATATTGGAACACTGCTATCATGTCACCCTCGTCCTTCTCTTCATTAAACTAGACATACCCAATTCCAGCAACCGTTCCTTATATGTTTTAGCCTCCAGTCCCCTGATTATCTTTATTGCTCTTCTCTGTACTCTTTCTAGAGTCTCAACATCTTTTTTACATCGTGGGTGACCAAAACTGGATTTAGGGTGAACATACTATAATGTTTTTTGTCAGCTTAAAAAAACCTGATCATGTATCCTGAAAGACAGTGGCGCACCATTTGCTATTAATCATCTCAGAAGGAGGCAGTGCAGTCAGTAATTCGTTCTGTCATCTTGTAGATTTCAGACTTCGTGTCCTGGTTTTAAAAGGCTTATTCCTCATTAACAGAGTTCAAAAAACATTCCACCTCATTTAAAAAGCCACAAACTTTAACTACGACCATATAAGGCCATGGCTTGCTGCGGATCTTTAAAGCAAAACATTATTCAAATTTTCTTGGAATGCCCAAATATTTAACAATGAACTTACAACAGTTCATTGACTAGTCAAAGTTACAACGGCATTGAAAAAAGTGACTTATCATGACCATTTTTCACACTTATGACTGTTGCAGCCATCCCCATGGTCACGTGATCCAAATTCAGATGCTCGGCAACTGATTCATATTTATGTCAGTTGCAGTGTCCTGGGGTCCTGTGAACAGCTTTTGCGACCTTCTGACAAGCAAAGTCAATGGGGAAGCCAGATTCACTTAACAACTGTTGCTAGAAAGGTCGTAAAATAAGGCAAAACTCACTTAACAAATGTCTCTCACATAAGAACATAAATTATCTGTACTTAATAATTGGGATCCGTAAGATCCAATATTGAGAAATATTCTTCCTCTCGCCAACAGCCCACTCCCTCCCCTCTCAAGTTATTCGGGAAGACCCCCAAGATCTAGAGAGAATTTTGTGGAGCACAGATGGCTCGAGTGGAATGAGAGGGCTCAAAAGTTGCTATCTAAGAAAAGTACTTGAAACTCCCTCCACTAAATGTCAACATTTAGCTTTGGTGTTAGTTAATATTTGGGCAGGAGACCACAAGAAAATTTGGCACTTGGAAGAGACTGGAAAATCAACAAAACATCCCAAAAGAAACAATAGCAAGCCATTTTAGTATTGTGGCCAAGAGAACAACATTGAAATGATTGTGAACTCAACAGGCACAAGCCTTGATTAAAATGAAAATTTATTTACAGAACAATTCTACTTATACATACAGTAAGCAACATCGAGGTTAGCAGGATTACACCCAGATAAATGAGCAGGGATTTGCAGCCAGATTCCAAGTACAATAGTTCATGGCCTAAATAAAACTAAGTATTTATAGCAGCTATAAATAACAGCTATTAATTTTGTTAGAGTCTGTTTATTAATTGCATTTCTAAACTGCCTTGATAGCATATTTCCATGGGCAGTGTACAAAACTGTTAAAAATACACAATATCAAATACAGTTTTACATGAGCATTGTCTATTATTATCTAAAATAAATAATTTAGAGAATAATTGCAACAATTCACTAGATCAGGAAAGTTTCAGATTTTAACATCTAATTTTTGAGCACAAACAAAAACCTATATTACATTAACAGCAATATGTCTATGTCCATCTTTGTCTTTTTTATCATTTGCAAAAGACAAAAATAATATGTAGTTTAGATCTGTAACTATTGCAACCTGTTAAATGATTGCCATTACTTGAAATAATGTTTCTTCAGAAGATTGATTGTGCCAATACATAATATCAATATGTAAAAATATTTTAAATTTATTGGTTTCATTTTAACATCTTCAGGAAATTAATTAGATTAAATTAAAATATTTAAGCAGACAATATCAAATAGACAATTTATTAATTTACTTATAGTTTTGCTAATACCTGTTTACGTTGCTTTAATATTTCCGTAGCCTGAGTTAACTGGCTACCTGAAGCCATACTTTAGTTATGGCTTACTGAACAAATTATATTTGCTCAAATTCATGTAGTATACAGAATCATAAATTATGATTTAAAATCACACTGAATGATTTTACATACACAAAGGTCAATCCGTCGTCAGTTTAATGTTGTTGAATAGCTGAATCACAGTAAGACAACTTTCTGTTCATTTATTTGAAATTAAATTTAGAAGCTCTTCACCAAAGCTGAACCCTATCATGAAATGTAAGGCAGATGCAAGAAGGAAGAGATGATCCATATATAACTTTGATGCATATATAGAAATGCTTGTAAGTGTTACTAATTGGAGTCATTCATCAAAAACCTAGTGTGTTTACTTCCACAAGTCATCATGTAGAAATAGGTATACATGGTCAAATTCATGTTTGATAGGTGGGCCAAGATTGAAGTATTTCCAGAAAACATCAGTGTAGAAATGGTATTTAGAAATGCATTTTAAGCATATATTGTACATTTACGATACTGTATTCAACATATTTCTAAAGATCAACAAACAAACATTGAATTAAAATGGTGTTTCAACAAAGGCATTATCTCTAGGGCATAAGACTCTGTAAAGTGATTTTGAAAGCATATCCTAAAAAGGCATCCATGTAGTCCTATATTTTACTGTAACAATTCAATTACAAGGCCCTAATGTCTGATTAAACAATAATGTATAATAATAAAGGATTAGCCAGATTCTCTGTGGGTGAGTAATTAAGATTTTGTCTAGGAAAAACATAAAAATCTTTAACCATTATTCCATCTACATTCTGGGACACTCATAATTACCATATTTTATAGCTGATTTGAAAAAACTCATCTGGTTCAAAAGGATTCAGAAAAAGGTATAATAACACCAAAAGTTCATTGATTGGCAGGTAGGCAATTATTTATAAATTATAAGCAGTGTGCAATAGGAGTAACAATTATCAAAAGAACAGATCACATTAACAACTCTACATGAGTAGCCAGATGCTATTCTACAGAGTTCGGACTCTACTAGGAATTGAATTCACAGACCTTTCCACTTGGGTGACAGTACATTAGCTTTCATCACTACTTGAGTCCTGGAAGTCGGTGGTTTGCAGGAAGAGCTTATAGGGATGCTCTTAGAATGGTATATACAGTCCATCTTCCTATATGCTCTCAGAGCGAAGAGATGTAGATGTTATAGGTCTATTCTTAGAAGATGTTTATAAAACATAACCTGCTTTGTCTTTCTCTCCTACTCATATGATCTTTGCAGCTGGTGTCCAACATCCTCATCTTCATCTGCACAAACATTGTAGGAGTGTGTACACACTATCCAGCTGAGGTGTCCCAAAGACAGGCCTTTCAGGAAACAAGGGAATGCATTCAAGCTCGCCTACATTCTCAGAGGGAAAACCAGCAGCAGGTAAGTGATAATAATGATACGTTTAGCAATGAAAATGTAAAATTTCTACAGTCTAGCCCAATAGATCTAGAAGCTTTAATATCCTTACCAGATTAGCAAAGTCAATTATTTGTAGCCAATTGAAACTTGGCTTCAACTTTGGGTGAATCCATAGGGAGGAGAAGGGTCAAACTGCAAAGGTGGTGGGCATGCCAATTGAAGTCCCACTCTTTTTAACATGCCAACTGAAGTCCCACTCTTTTTGTACATGCACTGGTGTGGCATGCATGTACAAAAATGCTGGGTCTTTGATCAAAATGTTGTACCTGCCATCTTGCATTCATGTTGGGTGAAAAGCCAAAACGTGTTACAGTAATGTGCTGGAAACCATAACAACTGGCTTCATTACTACCTTAGCCCTGTTGTGCCCTAAGTGTTGTGGCATCTGTGCTCTCAAACCAGCTTGCAAAATTCCACAAACTTTTTAACGATCAGTTTTTGTGAGCTGATACAAGCTATCACAAAGCATAAGATGCCACAGAAGAACAATTTCATAGGTAAACAAATATTGTGAGCCTTCTAACCTCTTACATTTGATTATTTCTCTGTCTGTTTTCAACAATCAGGGGCTTCTCTAAACAGCTGCCTAAGCATTCACTCTTACAAAGCCAGGGAAGACTATAACAAATGTCTAAAACTATAAAAAATGTCTAAATGCTTCCAACTAGCAGTTTCAGTTTTGAGAAACACTGTTAAGGAATGCTAGCTATATAGAATGGTTGAAATCAAGGCAAAATATGGAGAACTAGGAAAAAGTGGTCAGATCTGTAAAATAAAACCCACAAATCACTACAGACAAGCTGCTGTGAGGGTTAGTTGACACTAAAACATATGTCTGCAGTATAGTTTGGCTTATAAAACAGTACTCTGAATGGAGTGTTGATAAAAGGAAACCTTGCCACTTATCTCCTCACAAAAGCCATTGTTTAAAGCATGCAAAAGAAAATCTTGATAAGCCTGAAATATTTTAGAAAAAGTGCTTTGAACTTTTGAAATAAAATTGTGTTTGTTCAGAGCCACACAAGATGCATTTGGAGAAAAAGGATGATATATTCCAAGAAAATAAATCTTTCAATTATACTATGGTGTTGGTTGGGGGGCTCTGTTATATTGTGGGGTATTGTGGCAGTCCGTGACACAGGAAATATTGGAATGAAAAATGGATTGAATGATAGTTTGGAGTCAAATTATCAATGTGTGCCAGAAATAATGGTCCCACCGTCAGTGAAAAAATTGAAATGGAAAAGAGATTGGATATTTCAGTAAGACAACAACCCAAAATGCACTTTCCAATCAAATATGAAATATTTATAGGAAAGAAAGATAATGACTTTCACAATTCCCAGACTTGAGCATCCTTGAAAAGATGCATGCAAGGAGGCCAGGGAATGATTTTAAGCTAGCAAGGGAGAGTTGGGAAAAAATGGCAAGGAAGAGTGGGGAAAGCTTTCAAAATCAAGAACAGAAAGATTCTAAGCTGGCTAAAAGAAACTATTATTTTGAAAGCCATTATTCCTGCCAAATGATCCTCATGAAATACTGACTGGAGGGGTGTCAAAACTTCTGCACCAGCCATATTTGCTATTTTCTTACTTTGATTCTGTAAACAAATGCACATAATGTCAATATCCAGGTATGTAGAACTTCGCTGTAGTTAACTTTGTAGAGGTTGTGACAGTTTCTGTTCACCTATTGGAACATAAAATTTCACGCCTACGTTTTTGCAGGTGACTATATGTTATAGCATACAAAGAAAAAGAAAATCAAGAAGTGGACCTAAGTAATGACTTTTTTCTCCTTCATAATACTTGCTGTTACCTATGTTCTTATGGCTATATAGACAAAACCTCGCTAATATAAGAAAGTGGACTTGTAGCCACATAAGAAAGTTGAAATTTCACAACTGAATTGGGGACTAAGGCCAGCTGGCCATCCAAACTGTAACTGGAGGAAACCCCTTTCTGTATGACATCCCTGATTTGCTTATTGACTAAGTGGAATAGAATCTTAGATGACTTGATAAGGGCGGGCTTTATGGGAAATACATTTGGTTCTCTGTTTCCATCACAGAATAACAGTTTCATTTTGCTAGCATGATCTTCAAAGAGAGACATGTTTGTGTTGTAAATTGAAGCAAGAGCAGGTGTTTTATTTGGTTTATCTGTCTGATTCCACAGGAGCGTCTCCTGCTTTCTGTACTGCCTCGCCATGTTGCCATGGAGATGAAAGCTGACATTAATGCCAAAAAAGAAGATATGATGTTTCATAAAATTTATATCCAGAAACATGACAATGTCAGGTATGTGCAGAGGGAAAGGAGTGGGATTGGATCCATTACTCAACATAGCAATTCTATAAAAAGGAAGGAAATGGGGGAGACACGCATGTCCTCTGCTGAATCTTTGTATTCCCATCCCAGAGGTACACAACTCTTCCCACACTATGAGGGTCTGCTTGTGGTGTTTGAATGGCATGCTAGTGCCAAAGTAGATAAAGGAAGCACATGAAGTATGTTGAATGTGATTATTTCCTATGTGTTTAATATTTTCCATCTTCTATCACATTAAAAATTACAAGTTGGTTAGGAATTTTAAAAGGACTTTAGATAGCCATATTCAAGACTTTGGAAGACTTTAGGTTACACATTCCCAGGCTACACTTTTTTATTTCAAAATAGAACATAGGCACAACTGTTTTCAAGAGTTCTTCTTTGGTGTGTCTTGTTAATTCAGAACACTTAGATGTCTCTTGCAGAGAAAAATTGCATGGGAAGACCAGAGCAATATTGGTTAGTTTTGCTTAAATACTACAGTGGCTGAATTCATACAATACAGCTTACTAAGTTAAAACCAAACTGAGTCATAAACCTGTGGCTTTGATAACTTGAAGTTGAATGAATTGGTATTGTATTTACTAGTTTTCTCTTTCCCTAATTCATGGACTGGAGAAATTGGGGGAGGGGCAGGGGGCACTGGGGGAAACAGAATGTTTGTTGCTATCGATATTATGTAAAAGATCACACAGGAGCAGGGTATGCATGTTTCATGTGGCTACATTTGGGTGGCTTGTAGACCTTTATCTTATACATTTAACCAGTGGTGGAATTCAAATCCCTGAACAATTGGTTCTGTGCGTGGATGCAGGCCTAGGCCTCCCAGGCCTAGAATGGTCTTCCAGAAGTGGCATCCCCGCACTTCCAGCAGGCCATTCTAGGCCTGCGAGGCCTCCTTCAGGCCTCCCAGGCCTAGAATGGACTTCCAGAAGCGGGGTACATTCAGCCAGTTCTCTGAACTCAACAAAATTTAGCTACCGGTTGAATCCCATCACTGCATTTAACCAGCAAAATCCATTTAAGATGTGAAATGCTGAGGAATTTCTCTATGAAAGAAGTAGAAAGGGAAAACCTGACTCCATAGCTCGTTTTACTTTTCAAGGTTTGAATCTCCTTGACTTGGGTGGTAAGCAGGAGATGTTTTTCTTGTCTAGCAAGCAGTGATTGTATCCTTTATCCGTCTGAGTATCTTAATTTGTAAAACGCTAAAACTAGAATGTTTGGTTTTAACTGGCCAGATTCCAAGGAAGCAGATGAAGAAGTTCTGTACCAGCACACAAATAGAAATGCTTGAATTTACTGTTTTAGTCTCATCAAACTGTCTGAAAAGAAATCAGCTGAAGTCAAAATAGCACAGCATGGCTCATCAATGTGTTACTGTTTACGCTTTTGAATTAGAAATAGCCTGCCCTAATTGGTGTGGTTAATGCCAGATTGCCAACTGTTTGAGACTTTTATGCTGTATTTGAAATTAGACCACCAACATCAGAGCCTTTAGATAGCACCATCACTGCTTTTAAATCATATTTATGGATGCCAGAGAAGCAAACAACTGCTTTTAAGAGGGGGAACTTGCTGAAAAGCAGGGAGATGAGAACATGGTTGTTCATAGGCCATTAGAAACAAAATAGCTGAGAAAGATAATATTAGCCAGAATAATGGCTTCAATATAAACTGATGAAATTATTATTATATTTAGATAGTTATGCTAACAATAAAATAATAGCTCTTAGAAAATGCTTGACTCTTAACCATCCAAAGGATAAAATTTACAACTCAAATAAAGTAAGATGTGTGTGTGTGTGTGTGTGTGTGTGTGTGCACGCACATGCACTATTCCTGCTCATAGAGAACTTATCTTAGTCTACATATGCAGATTTGTATGTTGCAATGTGACCAAATGCTTTTGATGACTAGGGTTGTTTCTGAGGCAGTCAAGGATATAAGTGGAAATTTCTAATTTCATCCTTCTCATCTTACAGGCTTAATGTAACCCAAAGAACTAATATGGGCTTTTAAGAAGTTGCAATGTCAGTAGGTTTTGTTGCAGTGAGGTATAAATGATTCTTCAGAGATTTAAGTTTATCCAGTAGAAAAAAAACCTGTTGATGTATGGTCACCTATGTAAATAATGGAGGTTATGTGATTTTTAATACATCATTCAGTACATTATGTAAGCATAGGTTGAAGTAGATGATCTAGCTTAGATTCAATCACCCTAATAATTTATTTAATGTTCAAATTACTTTTTTGCAGAAAAAAAAGTCTTTAGTTTTTTATTCAGAGGAAAACTTTGAATTGTTAGAGTAGTAACTTTTCAGTAATTTGAACAAATGTCCAGAAGCCAGATATCTGCCCAATTATATGTCAATTCTTCTTTTGTCAGTTGTTACTTCTGTGGAATCATTGTAATTTATTTCAAATTCTGAACTTTGGGAAGAGAATAACAAGCTAAATATGTGCATTTAGTTTTCATGGCAATGCTGTGAAACCCACGTCCATGTATGATGAGTGGTCCTGGCACATAACATCCCAAAACAAGTGCTACATAAAGATTGAACTCTCCACTCTGGACATCCATTTTCCTACTCCAGTTTTGCTCTCCTCAGACGTAATTCCACAGCCTCTTCTCTGAGCTACAAAATAAAATAATTAACATTTTGGGAAGAAACTTGATAGAACACAGTCTAAATGTCTATATGCAGAAGTAGAATAAGAGCAAAACCTGTGTAGGAGCTCTGGGTTATATCCAGCCATAGATGAGTGGACTTTAAGTGGTACATCACAATCTCATGTTCTTGACTATCACACCATTCAATGAAAACCCCCCTTTTTGGGTGCCAGTTATCTTAACTCTTCAGCACTGAACTTAAACTCCAGGCAGATTCAAAAGGGAAGTTAAGGGTACCTTAAATTTTTTATAATGATTACCATTCTACAGCAGCAATCTGTTGTGCTTGGAGATGTAATTAAGACTTTACATTGTAGGCCATAGCTTTGCTTGGTAGTCTTTGCTGAAATCACTGGTTCTGCTCCTTTTTTCCCCATTAGAGAGATGGAGGAAAACACTGAACAGTTTTGAGAGAAAATTACTTAAAAGGGCGCCTGCACCTAACAGCAATCTTTATAATAGATTTAAAAGTAGCTTCAAAAGTACAGTATATTAAAAGAAGAGGAGGAATCATCTACTATTAAAGGAAATATTTTTAGAGTATTGCTGGTGCCAAAATTTGTCTTCCCGAGTTTACGTGACTTTATAGAAAGCATTTATGAGAAGAAAGGTCATTTGTGAAGAAGCATGACATATCTTTGGAGGAAAAAAAGTGAAGTTTCTCTTGAAAGAATATTGACTGACGGCCTTTCAACCGGCCTTGTGAAGAAAAGAGCATTAACCCATTGTGGTTTCCTAAGAACTAAGTTTACTATAGTCTGTTGGTGATCAGTGTATATTCCGAAGTGCACAAGAGAAAACTGCAAGCATATATTTGAAAAAATAAAATGAAAAAAATAACTAGAATTGTTATCCTAATTGCCTTCTATTCATCTACAAGTATCAATTGTCCCCTAGAATTGAAGTATATCCAAACGGAGTAAATCTATGTAAATTAATGGGTTGCATATTATTCTTGACAATTTCAATCATTTCAGTGAATATACAGGTAGCCCTTACTTAACAACTACAGTTGGCACTTCCATCATTAAGCAACACAGTTGTTAAATGAAATCTCACATAATCACACCCAACTTATGACATAGGTTCCACTATAGTTGTTAAACAAATCATCTGTGGTCATTAAGTGGGACTTCATGTGACTGCAGCTTGCAACTTACTGACAGCTTCCTCATTGACTTTGCTTATCAGAAACCAGTTGTGCAGGGGATGCTGCAGTTGTCTTAAAAGTGCATCAGTTGCCAAGAGCCTAAATTGTGATTACATGGCCATGGAAACGCTGTGACTATTGTAAGTTCAAGTACTTTTTAAAGTGCTGTTCAAATAGTCATTAATTGAGGATTACTTGTATTCTAAATATGACTAAGTCTTGATTCAATCCAAACCTGCTGTAAATATAGATTTTTAAGAGGGTAAATACAGTGTTGGACTTTCCCCCCAAAGAAGACTGTATTCCTATAATGTAACCCCACAATCCTCTTGTGGACCTTATCTTCTCACTTAAAACTTTTTAAGAATCAACAATAGCTTTTCCAACAACCCGTGGACATGCCAGAGTGAACCTTTCCAAGCAGTAGAGCCATGTGTTTTGATAAGATGGACTTAGTCCCAATTGCAATATCCAAACTGGACTTTATCTTCCACACACATGCCTCTTTATGGAAACTGGTGTTGCAGTTTCTTCTCTGTATGTATTGTTGAGGCATTTGGATATGTGAGCTTGTTTGTCTTTGTCTTTTCCATGGTTTTGTTTCTAATAGCTTTTCACCTTGTAGGGAGATGGGTGACATAAACAAACAAACAAATGGTTTAAGATCTGCAAGTAAGTGAAATAAGACGTCTAAATCCTTCAAGTAAGCAAGGGACAATTGTATGTTTCAGAAAATAATAAATGTTGGATCGTAATAAAGATAGCATCAGCAAATGGAAAGAAATGATATCATCAGAGCTGGGTGATCTTGCTGCAGTCCGGTAGCTTTTAAAGTAGGCTCTGTGAATTTAATTTGCACTGGTTGTCCCTTGGAGCCAGTTTTGTGTAGTGGTTAAAGCACCAGGCTAGACACTGGGAGACTGAGTTCTAGCCCTGCCTTGGACACAAAGCCAGCTGAGTGACCTTAGACCAGTCATTTTCTCTCAGCCCTAGAAAGGAGACAGTGGCAAACCATTTCTGAAAAACCTTGCCAAGAAAACTTGCAAAGCAGGGACTTGTCCAGGCAGTTTCTGAGAATCGGACACAATTGAACAGAAGGGGGAAAAAAACCCCGCTGTCCTTCACACAATATCCCTCACCCATAAT